GCAAGTGCGGGAAAGGGGGGCTTAGACAGGGACAGTGAGAGGTGAGGGTTGAGAGGGATGGGCGGGGGGGAGTCCGATGAGGGATCAGGACAGCGAGTAGGTGGAGGGAAGCGCGGGGGAGGAGAAGGGAAGGAGAGGAGGATGGTTGCAGGAGGAGGAGTCAGGAGGCCGGAGGAGGGACAGGACGACGGAGGCGCGGACCGGGAGCAGAAGGGGAGGGGAGCGGCGGCCGCGCTGCCCAGCTCCGGCCTGGCGAGCTGCGTGGGCTACTGGTCCCGGGATCTGCGGCGCGACCTGGACGACTTCGGGGATCCCGCCGAGGGCGTCGCGCCGCTCGAGTGAGCGTCCGCGGGGGAACATCGGCGGCGCGCGAGGGGGGAGCGTGAGAAGGAGGAGGCCTTCTCAGAAGGCGGCGGGGCTCCTCACGGAAAAAACCCTCGCGACTTCTGAGAAGTTTTCTGTGCCGGCGGCGAAGGCTTCGAGAACTTCTCACAAGTCAGGAGGCCTTCTGAGAGCCCTCTGAGAAGGCCCCGCCCCTTCTTGGCTTCCCCCCCGGGGGCTCGCCGCCGAGAGAAGGTGACGGTGCCGCTGCTCGTCCTGGAGAGGTCCCGCCGCCACGACTGGACTCTCCTCGAAGTTCTGGTCGCAATGCGCCCCAGGAGATGTCCCGCCGCCACGACTGGATTCCCCGCGAAGTTCTGGTCTGCGCCCACGGAGAGTTCCCTGCGCCACGACTGGATTCTCCTCGTGGTCGCAATGCGACCCGGGAGAGGTCCCGCCGCCACGACTGGATCCTCCTCGAAGTTCTGGTCGCACTGCGCCCCGGAAGAGTTCCAGGGAGCAGTGGTACAGTCAACCCGCATAGTAAGGATGGGCAACCTTCCCAAGGGTACCCTTGCATCCTTGCCTCCTCGGTCCATCCTTCGCCGCTTTCGCTGGCCGCGCCCCGCTCTAACAGCTTCGAAATGGGCGTCCAAGGCCTTTGCATCCAGACCGCGCATCCATACTATACTGGTTGACTGGGGCCCAATTTTCTCCACGCAGACGTCGCCGATGCATCGACGACGTCGTCAGTGTATGGCCGATGCATCGCTGATGCATCGCCGATGCATCGCCGATGTGTCGGCGATGCGGCGAGATCCTCCGACCCCATCTACTCCGACCCCACTTAGGAGAACTCTATCCAGGGAGCAGTGGTATCGGTACCTTCCTGCCCCCCCCCAGAGCGCTCCGCCGAGCGACGGCCAGGAGGAGCGCGCGCGCGCTGCGAAAAAGAGCTCGTGGACCGCCCGCGGTCCAGCTCCCCTCGCACTGTGCAGCAGTTCGGGGGGCCCGAGACGGGCCATTACTGTCGCCACACGGCACGAACGACATGGGTACGGAAAGAATGGGTACAATACCCGGCTTCGAATCCTATTGGGAAGTCGATTGTGTGGGCAACTTAAGTTTGTTGTGGCAACTTACTTTCCCCGAAGAGACTGACATTTGTTAGGGCAACATAAGTTTGTTGCCAATGCCCTACTCGAATCCTCGGGGGGGGGGGGGACAGCCGGCCCAGGGGCGACGCATCGACCCCCCAGCGCAGACGGCTCGCCGCCAGGGGCCCGAGCGCCCGACCCTCCGGCGAGCAGGTGGGTTCGCCACCGGGGGGCACGTGGGCAACGCATCGTCTCGGCACGACCGAAGTGAGTACGGAAAGAGTGGGTACAATGCCCATCATCGAGCAGTGGCGAGGCGTCTTGGCTCGCCTATAGCTCCACCAAACCATGTTCTAGGAACCTTTTTTCGTCGTTTCCACGAAATTTCCGGGATTCCCTGGGCAGTCGGGCCGAGGTATGTCGGTTCGGGGAGGGTAGGCCCTGGTGTTCTCCGTGCTTGTTGCCTCCCGTTGTTTATCCTGGGGAAGGGTACTCTCGAGGTTCTTGAGTTTGGCCTGCGAAGTGAAGGGTGCTCCTCTATCATTGGTTCGGCTGTATCTCTCCATGTTAGAACCATCGGACGGGGCCAGGACGAGGATCAAGCCGTCCCAGAGCGCCCTGGAACGCTCTCAGGGCGTTCCGGAAAGCTCTGCGAAGGCCGCGGCGGTTGAGACAATTTCCAGCGCCGCCGGATCTCAAACATTCTCGATGTTATCCACCCTCGAATTCATCCTCTCGGTGATCCTTAGGACGTATGTTAGCCCAATGTGTGTTGTTTACCCCCTTCAGCCCAACCTGCAGATCATTACATCGCCTGCGTCGCATCGAAGGGCCTCGATGGACAAGCACACTCTGGGACTAACACATGTTCTGAGGATCATCGGTCCTCGTCCTCCTCCTCCTCCTCCTTCTCCTCTTCCTCCTTCTCCTCCTCCTCCTGGCTTCGTCTTGAACCACGCGCCGAGTCGCGCTCCCGCCCACGGCCGCCGCCGACTCGGGCAGTTCGGATGCAACTCCTGGGATGTAAAATTCGGATTCTGCCCTGGTCCGAAATCCGGCTTAATCCCGCTGAATCCCGCTTAATCCCGCTTCATCCGGCTGAATCCCGCTTAATCCGAAGCCCATTCCGGCGCAACAGCCCAGCCCTGCAGTGGGGCTCAAACCTCCCTGATCTTTCCGACGACGACCTCCCAGCAGTTCCTTCCTAAGGGCAGCAGCCGATTCGCCCTTCTGCCCACGGCCGCTTCGCCGCGCGCGGAGGTCCCGCGGCCGCCGCCGGCGGGACCGCTCCCGGCGGCGGCGCAGCCGCAGCCGCCGCTCCCGCTCGTCGCGCTCGGGGGACCGCGGCTCTGCTGCGGGCACCAGGGTCAACGATAGGCGGGATAGGCTCGGTAGCGTTGAACCGATCCCCAGCCCCATCCCCATCCCCTTCGAGACCCTCACCAAGTTGCCCCCCAGCTGGGGATGCACCCCTCGAAGCCCGAAGGGGACGGCCTACATCCCCATCTAGGGGGGGTGAATCGGCCAGTGGGGCCCAGGCCACGCCACTGGGGATGGGGATCGGTTCAACGATACTAAGAGAGGGGGGGATAGGCATAGGGTTAAGTCGGGCATGTCCCTCTACAGGAGGAAAATCCAAGACTAGTGTTTTTGTTAAATGGTCTGGGGACGATGTGTTGAACATGTTTGTGAATCCGTGTTTTCTTTATTTTATTCCCCACATCCTGAGTGGGGTTCTTGTTTTCCCAGAACACCCTCTCCTTCCCACCCACCTCCCGCTCCATCTTCCATACAGCACAATATTATTCCTACCACACACCATACCATACCATAGTTCCTACCACACATACCATACCATACCATACCATACCATACTACCACACCATACGTACCATACCGTACCATACCATACCATGGCGTACCATAGCATACCATACCATATCACACCAATGCCACACCGTACCATACCATACCATACCTCCAGTACCATACCATACCATATCATACCATACCGTACCATACCATACTTACGAGGAGGGTATCGGAAAACCATACTATTTACATGGTTTCGTGCCCCTCCCCCTCCAGGGAGGCCCCGCCTGAGCGAGGAGGGTATCCGAAAACCATACTACTTTGAGCGATTCGGGTTTCGTGCCCCTCCCACCCTCCAGGGAGGCCAGCGAGGAGGCATCGGAAAACCATACTATTTACATGGACCCCTCCAGGGAGGCCCCGCCTGAGCGAGGAGGGTATCGGAAACCATACTATTTACATGGTTTCGTGCCCCTCCCACCCCTCCAGGGAGGCCCCGCCTGAGCGAGGAGGGTACCATACTATTTACATGGTTTCGTGCCCCTCCCACCCTCCAGGGAGGCCCCGCCTGAGCGAGGAGGGTATCGGAAACCATACTATTTACATGGTTTCGTGCCCCTCCCACCTCTCCAGGGAGGCCCCGCCTGAGCGAGGAGGGTATCCGAAAACCATACTATTTACATGGTTTCGTGCCCCTCCCACCCCTCCAGGGAGGCCCCGCCTGAGCGAGGAGGGTATCCGAACACCATACTATTTACATGGTTTCGTGCCCCTCCCACCCTCCAGGGAGGCCCCGCCTGAGCGAGGAGGGTATCCGAAAACCATACTATTTACATGGTTTCGTGCCCCTCCCACCCCTCCAGGGAGGCCCCGCCTGAGCGAGGAGGGTATCGGAAAACCATACTATTTACATGGTTTCGTGCCCCTCCCACCCCTCCAGGGAGGGAGCGAGGAGGGTATCCCATACTATTTACATGGTTTCGTGCCCCTCCCACCCCCCCAGGGAGGCCCCGCCTGAGCGAGGAGGGTATCCGAAAACCATACTATTTACATGGTTTCGTGCCCCTCCCACACCTCCAGGGAGGCCCCGCCTGAGCGAGGAAGGTATCCGAAAACCACAATATTTACATGGTGTCGTGCCCCTCCCACCCCTCCAGGGAGGCCCAGCCTGAGCCAGGAGGGTATCGGAAAACCATAGTATTTACATGGTTTCGTGCCCCTCCCACCCCTCCAGAGAGGCCCCGCCTGAGCGAGGAGGGTATCGGGCACCCATACTATGTACATGGTTTCGTGCCCTTCCCACCTCCCCAGGGAGGCCCCACCTCTCCAGCTTCTCCTTCGTGTTGATGTTGTCGTACCCCCTGGGTCCCACGAGACCGTTAATATCTTTATGTGGGGAACTCCGTTAGCATAAATATTTTTTTCGCCCAAACTCCGCCTGTAGGGGGACATGCCCGACCTAAGCATGGGGGGGATGCATCGATCCCCAATCGCCCATGGATCACCAATAGGGGCCCGATAGCCCCAACCCGCCCAGGAAGGGGCGGACTCACTATCAGAGCCCTATCGCCGATCGATCGGGGATGTAGAGCCGATTCCAGGTCGATGCATCCCCCCTATGCCAGTCCCCCCTATCGTCGCCCCTCAGGGCAGGGCTAGGACGAGGGTCAATCCGTTCCAGAGCGTTTCGGAACGCTCTCAGAGCGGTCTGGAACGCTATGAGAAGGCCGCGGCGCCCGAGGCATCTCTTCGAGAGCCACTGGATCTTAGAGATTCTCTATGATCCTCGCCCGATTTGATCCTTGTCCTGGCTTCGTCTTCCTGCTGGCCCCGCCTCGCCTGGAGGCCTCCCAGAGGAGGAGGAGGAGGGGAGGAGGAGAGAAGAGAGATGCAAGCCTAAGTGACGTCCGACCCCTCCCTCCCATCCATTGCCATAGCGGAGATCCCCTCGCTATTCGCACCGTCGGAGGTCGAGCAGGGCAATGATCCCGAGAGGGTACGAGATGCATGGTAGTGCACGGCGTAGCACGGCGTAGGACAACACGTTAGAGCGTAATTTGCTTGAAGGGAAGCCAGGCATGGCGCAATACGAGAAATACTTTCGGCGGTTCGGAAAGAGCGGATGCGTAACATGAGACCATCGCTGTAGCGGGATCACGATTTGGAATATCAGCAACAAAGAAGTGAGGTCAGCGCTGCAGCGGGAGTAGGATCTGAAATAACAGAGAGACAGAACATGAAGCCACAGTTGTAGCGGGAGCGCCATTCGGGAACACCGAACGAGTTGGGGTTGTAAACAAAACACATCTGATCGACTACCTTTGTTTGGGGGATAGGCTACGACCTCGGGGTTTTCTGGAGAGAGAGGAGCGTAACATCCAGATTGTGCAATCGTGGAGGAGGAGGGGGAGGAGGAAGAGGGAGGAGGGAGGAGGAGGAGGAAAAGGAGGAGGGGGGAGTTGGGAGGGGGGGTGGGGGGAGTTGGGAGTTGGGGGGAGGAGGAGGAGGGAGGAGGGAGGAGTGAGGAGGAAAGTTGGAGGGAGGAGGGAGAGAGGGAGGGAGGGAGGGAGGTTGGCAGGAGGAAGGGATGGTGGGAGGGTGAGATGGAGGAGGAGGAGGAGGAGGAAGAGGAAGACGAAGAGGAAGCAGAACACTAAGAAGAGGAGGAGGAGGAGGAGGAGGGAGGATGAGGTGTCGGAGGAGGTGGAGGAGGCGGGAGAAGGAGGAGAGAGTCGGAGGAGGAGAAGAAAGGTGTTCTAGGATCCTAGGACGGCTTCGCGCGCGCCCCGAGAGGGCGCGAGGTGACGAACGGCCATGGCAAGGACGAGCACAAGAGACGAACGGGCGCAGCGACTCGGAAGGCGACGGCGGCGGCGGGATCAGCCACTCACTTCGATTCGGGCTTCCTCACCAAGATGTAGGAGGATATGGGGGAGGGAGGGGGAGGGATGGGGAGGAGGAAGGAGGGATGGGGAGGGAGGGAGGGGGATGGAGGGAGGGATGGGGATGAGGAAGGGAAGGCAGTGGTGGGCGGCA